TGGCACACTCTTAACCCTGAAGAACAGAACTGAGCAGAGCTCTCTGGCCACACCCAACACAAGCCTCTAGAGATTCACCAAAAGCAGACAGTCCACTTAATCTAGAGTCATAGTATAACGAGAAAAGCCACCACAGTGAAAAGAAAAACAAAGAAGAAGAAACCAAAGAATATCCCCACAATGCCAAAAAACAAATGCAGAAACCAAGGACAAGAACAAGGAAGATATCACGGCTCTCACAAATATACATGACACTCCAACACAAGATTATGAAGATGATGAGACAGAAGAAATGCAAGATAGGTAATTCAAAAAATTTATGATAACAACATTTAGAAGCAATCAAAAACAAATGCATGAACTGCTGAAATCCATGCAGGACAGGACAGAAAATCTATCTTGTGAAAATGAAATCTGAAGGAGGAATCAAAGTGAAATGAGGAATTTAGTAGAACATGAAATTGAGTTATTGAAAAGAAACCAAAATGAAATGAAGAATTCAATAGAACAAATAAAAAAACACATTGAGAGCCTTAAAAGCAGAATCAGTGAGATAGAAGAGAGAATATCGGACTTAGAAGACAGAGCACAGGAAAGTATACAGTCTAACCAAAGAAAAGAAGAGGAAATTAGAAATCTAAAAAATATTGTTGACAATCTACAGGATACTATTTAAAAACCCAACATTCGGGTTCTAGGAGTTCCTGAAGGCATGGAGAAAGAGAAAGGATTAGAAGGCCTTTTTAGTGAGATACTTGCAGAGAATTTCCCGGGTTTGGAGAAGGACTGAGACATCCTAGTACAGGAAGCTCATAGAACCCCTAGTAAACATGACCAAAAGAGATCCTCACCATGACACGTTGTAATCAAACTCACCACAGTGAAATATAAAGAAAAGATCCTAAAATGTGCAAGAGAGAAACGTCAGATTACTCTCAGAGGATCTCCAATTAGACTCACAGCAGACTTCTCATCAGAAACCCTACAGGCTAGGAGGGAATGGCAAGATATAGCCCAAGTACTAAGTAAAAAAAAACAAAAAAAAAACAAAACAAAACAAAAAAAAAAACTGCCATCCTGTGGGGAGCAACTGGGAGCAACTCGGACTAGACTAAGTTACTGGAATTAAGACTTATTCTATGCATCTGCTCTCCCACAATATGGCGCTGGGAGAGGAGGAAACAGCTTCTACACAGCTGCCTCCAGTTCAACCAATAAACTGTAGGACCTACTCCTGATTGGAGGAGAGCAGCGTACTCGGTGTGTGGGTAGCAGAGTTGGGATTGGTGGAAGAGGACTATAAAGGAGGAGAGAGACAACATGCACCAGGAACATCTATCTGAAGGAACACCTGTGCAGCCCCCGAGAGAGCCGGCCGGCGGTATGCCACTCCCCCGCGGAAGTGGGGAAAGTGGCTAGGGGGAACCGCCCTTCCACGGAGGTGGAAGCGTCGGTAGCCAACCCGGGAAGAACCAGCAGCAAACCCGGGGAGGGCCGAGCAGACAAAAGAACAGCGCAGGGTCCTGTGTCGTTCCTCCATGAAGACGGGGAGTGACATAATGGTGCCGTGACTCAGATAGGAAGCCTAGGCAGGGCTTAGTGTCATTCCTCCACGAAGAGGGGGAGCGACACCATCCCAGAATATTATATCCTACAAAGCTCTCATTTGTGAATGAAGTGATAAAGACCTTTCATAGTAAACAGAAATTAAAAGAATTTGTCACCACTGGTCCAGCTCCTCAAAAGATGCTTAAAGATGTATTACACACAGAAACACGGCCATCAGTACCAAAGAAAGTAAAGGAAGAAAATCTGTAAATAAAAGACCACATGAAGTTCAAAGCATATATTAGAAATATCTTTGGAAAAATGATAGAGCAGAGTCACTACTTATCAATAGTCACATTGAATGTAAATGGCCTCAACTCTCCTGTTAAAAGACACGGAATGGCTGAATTGATTAAAAAACAAAACCCATCTATTTGTTGCTTACGAGAAATACATCTTTCCAACAAAGATGCATGCAGACTGAAAGTGAAAGGTTGGAAAAGATATTACATGCCAACAGAAACCAAAAAAGAGCTGGCATAGCCATCTTAATATCAGACAAAATAAATGTTAACACAAAAACGGTTAAGAGATTATTGGAATTCATAGAAGAGTTTGGCAAAGTATCAGGATATAAAATCAACAGCATTTGTATAAACAGGCAATGCTATGGCTAAGAAAAACTTCTAAGATCAATCTCATTCACAATAGTTACATAAACAATCAAATACCTTGGAATAAACTTAACCAAGGAAGTCAAAGATATCTACAATAAGAATTATAAAATCTTAAAGAAATAAATAGAAGAAGATACCAAAAATAGAAAAATCTTCCATGCTTATGGATTGGAAGAATCAGTATCATCAAAATGTCCATTCTCTCAAAAGCAATTTGTAGATCCAATACTATATCAATCAAAACCAAAGACTTTCTTCTCAGATCTGAAAAAAATGATGCTGAAATTTATATGGAGACTCAGGAGAATTCAAATAGCTAAAGCAATCTAGTGCAACAAACACAAAGCCGGAGGCATCTCAATACCATATTTCAGGATATACTACAGGGCAGCTATAATCAAAAAAGCATGGTACTGGTACAGAAACAGATGAATAGACCAATGGAACAGAATAGAAACACCAGAAATCAACCCAAACATCTACAGCCAACTTATATTTGATGAAGGATCTAAAACCAATTCCTGGAGCAAGGACAGTCTATTCAACAAATGGTATTGGGAAAACTCAATTTCCATGTTCAGAAGCATGAAGCAAGACCCCTAACTTACATCTTACACAAAAATCTAATCAATATGGATTAAAGATCTAAATCTATGACCCGAAACCATTGAAATTATCAGAGAACATTGGAGAAACCCTGCAAGATATAGGCACAGTCAAAGACTTCTTGGAAAAGAACCTAGAGGCACAGGCCATCAAAGCCAAAATTAACAATTGGGATTACAGCAAATTGAGAAGTTTCTGTACTGCAGAAGAAACCGGCAAGAAAGTGAAGAAGCAACCAACAGAATGGGAAAAAAATATTTGCAAACTATGCAACCGATAAAGGATTAATAACCAGAATCTACAAAGAGATCAAGAAACTCCACAACAACAAAACAAACAACCCACTTAAGAGATGGGCCAAGGACCTCAATAGACATTTTTCAAAAGAGGAAATCCAAATGGCCAACAGACACTTGAAAAAATGTTCAGGATCACTAGCAATCAGGGAAATGCAAATCAAAACCACAATGAGGTTTCACCTCACCCCGGTTAGAATGGCTCACATGCAGAAATCTACCAACAACAGATGCTGGCGAGGATGTGGGGAAAAAGGGACACTAACCTACTGTTGGTGGGAATGCAAACTGGTCAAGCCACTATGGAAGTCAGTCAGGAGATTCCTCAGAAACCTGAATATAACCCTACCATACAACCCAGCCATCCCACTCCTTGGAATTTACCCAAAAGAAATTAAATTGGCAAATAAAAGAGCTGTCTGCACCTCAATGTTTATTGTAGCTCAATTCACAATAGCTAAGACCTGGAATCAACCTAAATGCCCATCAACGAAAACTGGATAAAGAAATTATGGGATATGTACTCTATAGAATACTATACAGCAGTAAAAATGAAATCTGGTCATTTGCAACAAGATGGAGGAATCTGGAAAACATCATGCTGAGTGAAATAAGCCAGTCCCAAAGGGAGAAATATCATATGTTCTCCCTGATCGGTGACAATTAACTGAGCACCTAAAAGGAAACCTGTTGAAGTGAAATGGACACTATGAGAAACAATGACTTGATCAAAGCCCTTGTCCTGACTGTCGAGAAACAACTTTCCACTTTATCCTTTTTAGTTTTTTTTTCTTCTACTTAATACCATTGGTTGAACTCTTTAATTAACACACAATTGTTCTTAGGTGTATTAATGTAACTAAGAAGTGATTCCTGTTAAATATTAGAGTGGGAATAAGAGAGGGAGTAGATGTACAGTTTGGCATATGCTCACTCGGACTTACTCCTAACGGTAAAGTTAGAAACGTGCTAGGGGATTCCAATTCAATCCCATCAAGGTGGCATGTACCAATGCCATCTCACTAGTCAAAGTGATCAGTTTCAGTTCATAATTGATCATAATGATAGGGTTAAATGTCAAAGGGATCACATAAACAATACTAGTGTCTGCTAATACTAACTGATAGAATTACAAAGGAGAGAACAATCCAGCATGGGAAGTGCAATACATAGCAGACTCATAGAATGGCAGATGTCCTAAACAGAACTCTGGCCTCAGAATCAGCCCTTAAGGCATTCAGATCTGGCTAAAAAGCCCATGAGAGTATTTCTTGCATGGGAAGCATATAGACAGTCTTGTGGGGAAAAAAAAGCCCTAAATGTAAGATCTCTGTGACTGAGATCCCAGCAGAAAGAACAGAAAGAACGGGCCATCAAAGAAGGAGGTACCTTTCTCTGAAGGCAGGAGAGAACTTCCACTTTGACTATGACCTTGTCTAAATAACATAGGATGTGAATTATATAACGTTGAATTATGTAATACCATTGTCTTTTAATTCTAACTTTTTGAGGGTGCCTTTCCAAAAAGTATCTTTACTCTTAAGCAGAGTCTAACTTTGAAGTCACATGCAAAGCACCTGGATCCAAATATCTTCTTTCATTTAAAAGTAAGGGTCTTCATGTCAATAATGCCATTTTTATAAAACGTGTTTCTCAGGTTAAGATAGGACATATTCTCTAACCATATGTGTAGGATCCTATTATTCCTAACTGGAAGCTAATTTCACTAACCAGAATGGTTTATGCTTATTCAAGAATATCATCTCCTGCAATGTTTCCAACACTGAGGACAAAGTAGTCTCTCTCTCTCTCTCTCTCTCTCTCTCTCTCAAAACATTCTCTTAATGCTAACATGAGTTGTTCTCTGTTTTAGGTCCTGCCACAACACAGCCGCCATCCTGTGGTGTGGATCAATTTTCTTGTATCTACACACTCCAGTGTGTCCCTCTCTCTGGAATATGTAATGGCTCAGAAGAGTGCGTAGATGGATCTGATGAAATGGATTGTTCTACTGGCTCCACACCTCAGCTCTGTGGGGAAATGGAGTTCCCCTGCTCTGGGGGCCAGTGTATCCCGTCTCTCCTGCTGTGTGATGGAGTACCAGACTGTCACTTTAATGAAGATGAATCCAGCTGTCGTGAGTTATTTTCACTAACTTTGTGTGCCAAGGGAAAATTCTGTTTCAAAATGATAAAGAGGACTAGCAAGACAAAATAAAGTTCTGTGGAATATTAGCATGATCCCATCATCAATGACATTGTGTGTAGGGGAGAGTGTGGGGTGGTGGGAAGGGAGAGATGGTAAAGCAAAGCGTGTAGCCCTGCAGCCCTTGCTCAGCATTTGGTGCCCACACTCATTTCTGTTAAACCTTCTTCCCTTACTTTTCCATTTGTCCTGGATCCTCCATATAGGGAATGCCCTTGTGAATTTTTAATCTTTGCAAAGAAGAACAATTGTAATTTCTTCCCACCTTCAAGATTCATGTGCATAGCTCAAGAAAAGAGCTATAGACTGGATAATCACCTGAGCAGCTGTCATATCATGAAGAGTTCATGGGATATTAAATCCTAAGGACACAGGCTTGATCCTCATCCCTGTCACTTACTACTTGTGCAATTTGGGGGTTGTTCTTTGAGTGCCGCCTATCTCAGTCTCATCATCCATGCAATGAGGTCAGTACTACCTAGTTTTCTAGGCTGTGAGGATTTGATACATGCGAAACCTCAAGCCCTGCGTGCAGCACCTTCTAATTGTATTACAACCAGCCTGCGTCAGCTATGGAAAGACTATGGAAAGATGAATGTAATTGAGAATCAGTTACATGTATCTTTTTATTTCTTATATTTTTATTTTTTTTTGACAGGCAGAGTTAGACAGTGAGAGAGAGAGAGAGAGAGAGAGAGAGAAAGGTCTTCCTTCCCATTGGTTCACCCCCCAAATGGCTGCCATGGCTGGTGCACTGCGCCGATCCAAAGCCAGGAGCCAGGTGCTTCCTCCTGGTCTCCCATGTGGGTGCAGGGCCCAAGCACTTGGGCCATCCTACACTGCCTTCCTGGGCCACAGCAGAGAGCGGAACTGGAAGAAGAACAACCGGGACAGAATCTGGCGCCCCAACTGGGACTAGAACCCAGGGTGCCAGCGCAGCAGGCGGAGGATTAGCCAAGTGAGCTGTGGCACCGGCCGAGTTACACATATCTTTAAGGGAGCATATAATCATGGTGGAGGCTAAGCACCACTAACATTTTATTTATTTATTTATTTGCTCACTGGCTTATTATAATAAAGTACTATATTATATTTTCTTGGCAAGAGCTGCAGTGACAGAGGTCCATAAACTATATGTTAGTAATCACTTTTTTGAGTAGTAAAAATGTCTTGGAATATCTCTATAATAGGGAAATGTTGGGAAAAATAAGGTTATTTCAGTGTCCCATTTAGTGTAGGTATTTGGAATAATAACTGTTGGAAAAGGAGTAAAGACGAATGAGAGAAGTCTTTAGCCTTAAATCACTGAAACTCTTCTGGGTTTAGACATAGAGATTAGTTTTTCATATCCATGTTAGTTTCTGGTCAATATTCTCTGATAAAACCAACTTGTCAGATTTTGTACTATTTTCTTAGAGGAAAGGCAAGCAAATGGAGGTGAATTGAGAGGAGAAATATTGCCAAATTACATACCCCTGTTCCCATTAAGATCTGGCTCATGGAGATCATATTAAGTTCAAAATAATCACATGATCTTTGACTTCAAATATACATGATACTAAAAGAAAAGTTTAGAAAAGTACTGTGTAATTTTAGGCACTCATTGGAAAATTGGCATTAGACTAGGTGGTCATATGAAATTTTGCCTCTAAAGGGATATAAGGCCACACTAGGAATTGATGAGGAAAAAAATGCTAGAGCAAATGACCGAATAAGAGCATTCAGAGATAGTGGTTACCAGAGGATGAGAAGTGTCATAGGAAGAAGATAGAAAGATGCTGCTTAATGAGGTTTGTGATGAGGACTGAAAAGCAGCAGATGTGAGTTCTTTCACCCTTGTGGGAGACTCAGTTGGAGTTCCAGGCTCCTGGCCTCCCATTGCCTGTCCATGGCTGTTGTGGGCATTTGGACGATGAATCTATAGATGGAAGATATCTTGATCGATTGATCTGTGTCTGTAACTCTCATTCTCTCATTCTCTGTCTCTTTGTCACTCTTCCTTTCAAATAAATACTTAAACACTTTTTTAAAAGTACAAAAATCAATGTGATCTTCTTGTAGGTGCTTTTTTTTTAATTGTCTTTAACTCATTCAAAATGCCGCAACAGTATATTTAACCCTTCCATGGTGATAGACATAGAAAGGCAACAAAAAAGAGCAAGGTGATCTTAAAGGTATCAGAGAATATTTAATATTTCTGAGATTGCATATTATTAGGGTTAAAAATATAAATTGGGGGAAAAAGTGTTTCCTGGTAATGTGGGAGACAGAACTTTCAGTAGAGTGGGGAAGTGGGGCAGAATTTTGAAATCAATCTTCATGAAGAGCATGTGGAAAACAACAAAGAGAGAAATCTACTGTAGGCAGTTCTTCCCAGAAGTTGGCTTGGGAGTGGGATATAGAATAAAAAAAGTGCCTTGTACATGTTTAAATGTTGTAGGCGTAAGAATTCTGAGATGTTTATTATGTCAAGCAGCGAAATAAATATCAGTTGAAATGTGAAGGCCTTTTATTCTTGCACAAATAAATTTTCCAATGATCAGAATGTTTTGACAAACCTGTGATGAATTACACACTTAAAATAATTCATATTTAATATTGTCTTTCTGCTGGACACATGTTAATATTTTTAAAGCTGAAGTGATATTTCTTGTATCAAAAGTATACCATTTGGCCCCAAAAAGAAAAAAAATCTGGTTAATGACATGGAGCAACACAATAGCATAAAACTAAGAACACGCTTTTCCTTGATACTCCTCAGATAGCAATCTGTTTACTAGAAAGTTTCATTATTTCATCTGTGTTTTATTAGCTGTTATCCTGTCAATAAATAAGGGGCACACTGGAAGTGTGTATAGTGTGTATAGAGACTATACTAATAAAGGATTGATTATTGGGGAGATAGTATGTATAAGTAAGCTACAAGGATAGTAAGAGTAGAGGCTTTTATTACTCATAGACTGAAAGGTGTGAGAAGAGGGAAGAGTTGTCTGAATCTGGAGTCAGAGAGGACCACTTGGTAAGAAGTGGTGCATTTTACTAGAGAAGCAGCTAGTCCATGCTGATCTCAGAGTCTTGTTTTCCTTATTAATCTGCTGCTACCTATTGGCTAACTCTCCTACCAAACACCTTGTTTTTGAGGTCTGCCTGTACTACTTCTTTACCCAGACTCTCCAGTTAAGACAAACTACTTTACCCACCATTCCAATATCAAACTTTACTGAATTTACACCTACAGACTCTATTCCCACTCTGCCAGATGATTGTTTTTCTGGAAATATTATAATTTAAAAAGTATTGCAAATCTATTCCTACTTGACTCTCTTTTTAATTATTTTTTAAGAAATACAAATTTCATAAATACAACTTAGATATAATACCTCAAATAATTCTTTCCAATACACTGTACATGGAAAGAATATCAAGTGACATAACTGGCAGAATCTGTGCAAAATCTATACATGAGGATGTTTATTCCTGTGCCATCATATTTATCAATTTGCTTTGAAAAGGTGATAACTTAATTTTATCTGTTCTATTGCAAAGAACTTTTTAAAGATGTTAGCAGCCAAATTTCAAATATGATGTTACACATTGTACCAACAAGGAAATCTGATAAAAAGAGAGCTATTAATTTTGAAACTGAGTTTAATGCCAGAAATTTCTGATTATTGACTGTTGTCTTTGGCATATCTCCACCAAATTCTGGTACTCAGAGGAGCAGGGTTAAAAAAGAAGATCAATATCACCATTTTTTATTGCTTTTGAAATCCATCTAGACGTTCCAATCAAATAATGCAGTGAGTTCATGCTCTGACCCATTCCCTCTGCTCCAGACATATAACAATGCTAGGTAGAGGAGTTATGACATAAAAAGGTTCAGTGACAAGGTAAACATTAACACTGGCATGGACCAAAAACAGAGTAGAACCAGAAAACAGGGGTCAGACCTGAAGCCCAAACCTGCAGGTTTCCAGGTCCTGAGACAAGCAAGAAAACAAAGATATGTTTTGCCATTATTGCTGCTTGAAATGAGGGGTTCTCAGCCAGCCCCAACTCATAAAATCAATCTAAACCAAAGACTTTTCCTTTATAGGAAGCTGTAAAGACTAGAAAATACTAGAGAGTGGGAAAGGAGAACACAAGAATATACGTTCCACACTAATAATTGTAATAATTGGGCTTCTGAGTGACTAAAGTGTATCTCAGGGAATTAATCAAGATTCACATGAGAGAGAGAGAGAGAGAATGAATATTTGCAGACCAGATTGCCATGGAACAGATTTTGAGTGCTCCTTGTGGGCATTGGTAAAGATATTTTTCTGAAGCAGCAGCTATCTTGTGAGCAATAACATCCCTATCAGTTATTATATTTGTCCCTTGAAGTCAAGCTCTGCTGTGGCCCTCAATAAGAGACTACAGTACCCCTCTGACACTTGAGCACAGTGCTATGAAGGCACATAATCCTACCATTGAGTTTTAGCTTCCTGTATCATCACCTATCATCCAGCAGGTACCAGTGACCACCCATGGCTTATGCCCCAGCTGGAAGATGATGAACATTGAATTAAGCTGTAATCTTTGTCATTTTGATTGCACATAATTTCAGGGACATCAGGGAAGAAGCAGAGCACAGAGACATCTGCCTTGAGGTAAATGTTGAATTTTCACCTGAGATCAATTCTACGTCTACAGTGCATGCATTAGTCTGCTCAGGCCGCCACGACAAAATAGCACAGATGGGATGGCTTGAACAACAGAACACTCAGTTTTGAAGGCCAGAAGTCCAAGACAAGGCATTGGCAGGTCTGGCGTCTCCTCAGGCCTCTCTCCTTTGTTTGTAGGTGCTGTATCCTCTGTGTTCTGTTCTCTGTGCATGCACAGCTGAAGTCTGTCTGTCTGTCTGTCTGTCTGTCTCTATCTCTTTCACTCTCCTTGTAAGAAAATCATCACTCACATTAGAGTAGAGCCATGCCCTGATGACCCCAACCCTAATTACCTCCTATTAGAGCTTAGGGCTCCAACACAAGAATTTTGAGGGGATACAATTCAGTCCATAATAATATATAACTGGGAAGTTATTCTGTCAACAAACTTTTTTTGCAGAAAGTTTCAATTTAATGAGTTTGAATTTTCCTCTAATCAGAATTATCTTGTAAAATGCAGGACTAGAAAAAGTGAAAGATACCACAATAAACTGTCTTATTATTATGAGAAATTCATTGGGAAAAAGGTATTCTTGGTGATCAATCATGATCATTGTTCTTTGTTTCAGCCACCGAGAGCTGTTCCGAGGGAGCTCTGGTATGCACCTCCTCTAATAGCTGCATCCCAGCTCTCCACCGCTGTGATGGTTTTGCTGACTGTGTGAATTTCCAACCTGATGAGTCCAGCTGCTCAGGTACTCCATTTGCATGTTAATGTTCTTTGCAAAAGGAACAGTAACTTAATTTGCAGACAATAAAAATATTAAAATTGAGATTCTAAACAATGGGAACCGTGGAATAATTGAACTCCCCTTATTGGTTGGGAGGCTGGAATAATGTTGACATTAATCACCAACTTTATCACAAAATTTACAATATATGCTTATTCTATCCAATGTTCACTAAGTAAAAATCATATATGTAGTTTTAGTTTAATATAATTTGAGCTTATTAGTGTTTAATCTCCTCTATAAAAGTTGTTTGATTTCTGCAATAAGGTAACCCGATACAATCTAATGTTATTATTAAAAAAAAAAAAAGCTATAGTTAAGTTGCAGGCATTACTGCCCAGAGGGTTAAGCTGCCACTTGAGAGGCTCATATCCCATTTTGGAGTACCTAAGGTCTTGCCCTGCCTCCAATTCTGATTTAGCTTTCTGATAATGCATCTGGAGGCAGCAGATGATGGTCCAAATACCTGGGTTCCTGTCACCCAAACAGGAGGCCTAGATGGTGATTCTGGCTCCTGATTTCATCCTTTTCCAGTCCCTGCTGATGTGGACATTTAAGGAGTGAACCAGTAGATGGGAAATATTTGTTTCTCCCTCTCTCTCACTCTACTTTTTAAATAAATAAATAAAAACCTTGGGGAAAAATACTATACAAAGGGTGAGCATTTGGCCTAGTATTTAAGACACTCAAGTCCCATTTCAGAGTAACTGAGTTCAAGTTCCAGCTCCATTTCACATTCAAGCTTCCTGCTAATTAACGTAGACTCCAGGAGGCAACAAGTGAAGATTCAAGTAGTTGGGTCCCTGTAACCCACAGAGGAGACCCAGATTAAGTTTTTGTTTCCTGAATTTAGCTTGGCCCAGCCCTTGCCATTGTGGGCATTTGAGGGATGAGCCAGTGGATGAGAGCGCATTCTGTCTCTCTCTTTCTCTCTCTCTCTCTCTCTTCCTCTCTTTCCTGCTCTTTCCCCTACCTCTCATTAAAAAAAAAAAAAGTAAATAAAAACTAGTAATTTTTTTTCTTCAAAAGAGCTTCCTTTACTTATTTGTTCATTAAAAGTAAACTTATTAAACTTAACAAGATTGTGTTAATGTTTCTCTAACCTTTGTTGTGTATTGTTTGTATCTCTCTCCTGAATAACTGAATTTTGATTGTAGGAGATATATAAAACAATAGAGACAATATAATTCTGTCACAACTAAAAGATAATATTAGTCAGTGATAAAGGACATATTCATGGTCAGCACCGCGGCTCAATAGGCTAATCCTCCGCCTGTGGCGCGGGCACACCGGATTCTAGTCCCGGTTGCCCCTCTTCCAGGCCAGCTCTCTGCCGTGGCCAGGGAGTGCAGTGGAGGATGGCCTAAGTGCTTGGGCCTACACCCGCATGGGGGACCAGGATAAGCACCTGGCTCCTGCCTTCGAATCAGTGCAGTACGCCGGCTACAGCGCGCCAGCCGCAGCAGCCACTGGAGGGTGAACCAACGGCAAAGGAAGACCTTTCTCTCTGTCTCTCTCTCTCTCTCACTGTCTACTCTGCCTGTCAAAAAAAAAAAAAAAAAAAAAAAAAAAAAGGACATATTCAATATTATTTTCTAAATTGTAATGCCAAAATTAAATAAGAATATATTCTTTGTATCTTTCAAAAGAAGACAATATCATGAGAAAAGTGACAAATGTATGATAATCATAACCAAATTATAATGTAAAAGTCTTCTATTACATTACTGCTGAAAGTACGTACTCACACTGCATTGAATTTTATTAATTCAAAAAGAAATGAAGATCTGACCCAATGAAATAGGTAAAGGTGAATACTCATACTCTGGCATTGTTTCACTACTAGATAGGCATTGTCTTTTTTAAACTATTCATATATATGGTGTGTGTGTGTGTCGCCAAGTAACACACAAAGATCTATCTACGTTTACCAAAATAGCCACGACAGCCAGGTCTGGGCCAGGCAGAAGCCAGGATCTCCATCCTGGTTTCCCATATGGATGACAGGTTCCCAAGTATTTTTGCCAACTTCTGCTGCTTTCCCAGTGGAAAACCTGGCTCAGAAGCAGAGTAGCTGGGACTACTATGGGAAGCTGGATTGGAAGCAGAGTAGCTAGGACTCAAATCTATACTCCAATATGGGATTCTGGCATTATAAGACTAGACAAGCTGATTCTCAGGTAAATTACTCAAAAGGAAACTCTGTTATTCTGTGTGGAGTATCAGAAAGCTATTAAAAAGATAGTTTCGGGCCGGTGCCGCGGCTCACTAGGCTAATCTTCTGCCTGCGGTGCTGCCACCCTAGGTTCTAGTCCTGGTTGGAGCACCAGATTCTGTCCCGGTTGCTCCTCTTCCAGTCCAGCTCTCTGCTGTGGTCCGGGAAGACAGTGGAGGATGGCCCAAGTGCTTGGGCCCTGCACCCGCATGGGAGACCAGGAGGAAGCACCTGGCTCCTGGCTTTGGATCGGCGCAGCACAAGAGCCATAGCAGCCACTTGGGGGATGAACCAATAGAAGGAAGACCTTTCTCTCTGTCTCTCTCTCTCACTGTCTAACTCTGCCTGTCCAAAAAAAAAAAAAAAAAAATCATTGTTTGCAATGGTTAACACAAATATTTAGATCCAGAAGTCAAATGTCAAATGTATTTACTTAAAGGTGAGATTTTCTTTGGAGTGGTCATTTAGGAACACAAATATATTGTAACATGTTATGATTTTTGTTGTCTTCGTTGACATGGATTATCTTTAAAAATGGTTTTTGAAAAAAAATACTTGCTAGTCATAGCAAGCATGGACAACCTGTACATAAAATCTGTTGTCCTATTTAGCCAGCCACCAGTTATATATACTTTACTCACAAAGTGTAGCTCATATTGGCACAGCTATGGTATAGAGTAAAATAAAGACCTAGTTCAACATAGTTTTCAGAAATAAAATCCATATTGTATTAGGTTTTCTCCATTTATATTTTATTGCTTTTTGGCTTATCAGTCAAATATGTTAAAGTCAATGCTTATGTTCTTAAGACTGCACTTAAACATCACCATGATGAAGATTTGTCAATGTAAGTTACATATTATCTTCTTTCCAAATATCATATTCCTTTAAGGTAGCATTTCATATAGTTATGTGAGCTGGATCCATACAACATCCAGTAATTCCCACAGTGGTTGCACAACAGATGGCCTCACCTACCTAAAGGCTTAAGTCATTAACGGAAACATCAAGTTCAGACATGCTTATGTGTTGCAGATTAAGTATATGTTGATGAATCCTGTCTGCTCCTAAGTTAAATTAGAAAGGCATATTATTTCAAGTTGTGATTGCTTACGCAATAAAAAATTATTGACCAGAATTTGCTTGGCTAAATTTAAACTGGAAGTGTTTTTCTAGCTATTTGCAGTAGACGTGAATAAACCTTATTCTCAGGTTATAACTATCATAGTCAAAAGGAGAATTAAGAAAAGACACTAAAAATAGAAAACTGTAAGATGGGATATTATGAATATAAGTAACATATGGTGATGATGGTGATGATATGACCTAACGAACGTTTCAGAATAGTTTAAAAGCAAACTAAACAAAGCATAAAACTTCTTAAGCAAGTGCCATGGAGCTATTTCAAGTTTCTGAGATGTGGTCCTCTCTCCTGCATTCCTTGTGCAGGGATTTCAAGATAGAGATTTCAAGATAGAGAGAACAGTCTGTACCAACTGGGCACATGGTTTCCTGCACAAGCTGTTCCATCGGGGTCCTGGGATGCATACGTCTCTTCCAGCTGTGTGCAGATTATTGTGGCTGTGCATATTTACCTGTGTTGGGGCATAAATGCCACACGATTCGAGGGTTCTTGAGACCATCATATCAAGAACTACTAGCCATAACAGAAATTCTGAACTGAGTAAGAAATCATTTGGGCCGGCGCCACGGCTCACTGGGCTAATCCTCTGCCTTGCGGCGCCGGCACACCGGGTTCTAGTCCCGGTCGGGGCGCCGGATTCTGTCCCGGTTGCCCCTCTTCCAGGCCAGCTCTCTGTTGTGGCCAGGGAGTGCAGTGGAGGATGGCCCAAGTGCTTGGGCCCTGCACCCCATGGGAGACCAGGAGAAGCACCTGGCTCCTGCCATCGGATCAGCACCATGCGCCGGCCGCGGCGGCCATTGGAGGTTGAACTAACAGCAAAGGAAGACCTTTCTCTCTGTCTCTCTCTCTCTCACTGTCCACTCTGCCTGTCAAAAAACAAAATGATATCATAAAGGAATCATTTGGCATTTTTTGAACAACAAGCTTTAGAATTGGATGTCTAGAATTTAGTTCTAGCTCACATTCTTCCTTGTTGTTAAAGCAAGTTGTGTTAACCACGTGAGGCCTCAGTTTCCTTCTCTGCAAAATGAGAGTGACTATGGTAAACACATGTTATGAGGATTAAGAAAGGTAACGATGTAAAGCCCATGATAATCCCTGACATACACCTGGCCTTTGGTAATGGTAGTGGTGATGGCGACATAGTAATAGAGAGCGGGTGGGAAGAGAAGGAGAAGGTGGGAAGAGGAATGGGAATGAATTAGTGTCACAGGCATTCACCCCCACACACCCAAATATAGAGAGGTGAATGAGAGCAATCACTTAATACTTTATTAATACCATTCACAAGTGGAAAATATCATAATTTAATTTCATGTTTTGACCAGTCTTATAAGGAAGTAATGTAATGCTTATTTTATATGTGAAGAACTTAACCTGGAAGACCCCAGTCCAAAGTCACACAACTCATAAATGACTGAGCTAGATATCACAGAAGCTATATTAAAACTCAAGTGCTTATCAGTCTTCATGGTGAAGGACCACATAACAGCCATCACTTGCTGGTCTCTGTATTAAAGAGGGAAAAAAATAGGTACCTAGTTGCAAGTTACTTATTTCTAAGCCTGAAAGCTTGTGTGTGTGTGTGTGTGTGTGTGTGTGTGTATTCCTGCTTATCCACAAGAATAGACTAGAATGGGAGTAAATGTGAATTCTGCCCAGAATGATACTTCTAGCTGGTCAACTCTGAGCTGTGTTGGCCTTCAGGCAGAAAGTCACAATAACCAAGCAACAGGGACAAGCTGGAGAGATCTTACTGTAGCTAAAAATGAGGGTTTCTGTGCTAGTTCCAGTATCACTTTCATGGATGCCTAGTGTCTATCTGGGAAACTATCTACTTACCTACTAGAAATACTCAGCCTCTTCCTGACTACTCATCACCGTACCCTTCCCATTTCATGTGCTTTGAGTAAATTATGGATGAAGATACTTCAAACTGTGTATTTATATTTTATGGGTAAAGAAATTGGGTCTATGGCAGAAACTTACAAAGAACTCACAGAGACAATCCACAAATCTTTGGTTCTGTCTAATTCTAGTCATCTTCCAAAGATATCACCTCTGAACTGTGGTGGCATTAAGTTTCCAAATTTCATTTTTTTAAGATTTATGTATTTATCTGAAAGTCAGAGTTATACAGAGAGAGAAGGGGAGGCAGAGCGAGAGCAAGAGCAAGAGCGAGAGTGAGAGCAAGATAGAGTCTTCCATCCACTGCTTTACTCCCCAATTTGTCGCAATGGCCAGAGCCGCACCAATCTGAAGCCAGCAGCTTCTTCCTGGTCTCCCATAAGGGTGCAGGGTCCCAAGGACTTGGGCCATCTTCTACTGCTTTCCTAGGCCACAGCAGAGAGCTGGATAGGAAGTGGAGCAGCTGGGACTTGAACCAGCGCTCATATGGGATACTGGAACTGCAGACAGTGGCTTTTCCCGCTATGCCATGGTGTGGGCCACAGTTTCCACCTTTCTAATTCCTCACAAGAGGGATTAAATTTCAATAGGTGGACCCCTAGGGGGCATGCTCAAATCCCATATAAAACAATGCAGATCTTATTTCACCTAAAACAATGATCTCAAAATAATTTCAGAAACAAACCTAAAAAGTTATAATGTCTGGAATACAGAAGTAGGAATCTGAAGAAAACCCTTGAATTTACCTTTTTACTTCATAATTCTTCTAGGGTTCAGACATGCAAATTCCATTGCTGACTGGACACTTCAACTTGGATGTCCTTCAGGGACTTAAAAAAAGGGAATCATCTTTGCCTTTAAGAATTTTCCTCCCCCAGAGCCAGTATCATGGCACGCCAGGTTAAGCTACCACTTGGGGTGCCCACATCCCCATATTAGAGTGCCAGTTTGAGCTCTAACTCCTCTGTTTCCTACCCAGCTTCCTGTTAATGTATCCTAGAAGGAAGCAGAAGATGGCTCAAGAGCTTGAGACTCTGCCACCCAAATGGGATACCCAGATGGAATTCTAGGCTCCTGGCTTTCAAAGCCTAGCCCCTGGCATTTGAGGAATGAACCAGCAAATGGAAGCGTGCGCTTTCTCACTGTCTAATGTGCACATGCTGTCTCTTATCACTCTACCTTTCAAGTAAATTTAAACAAATAAACATTTTTTTAAAAAACTTCCTTTCCAATAAATCCCTCTACTCAATGAATGAAGTCACCAATTAGCCAGTGGACCCTTCAGAAATGTGAACATCATCCTTGACTCCCATATGCTCACCAAGATGTCACAAATCTGGCATTTACTTCTCTTAAGTTCCTACAACTTTCAACCTGCTGCCCCAGCCCTGCTCCTTTCATTCATGCAACCATCATTTATTCCCAGATTATTATGAAGAACCCTTAATGGAATCACCAAATTTTATTCTTGGCTTTTGGCTTTTCTGTTAACTTTATATATTGCAGTCAAAATTCTTTCTAGCATGAGGCATGCCACTCCCCTCCCCCCTTTTTTTAAAAAAGATTTATTTATTTATTTATTTGAAAGAGTTGCAGAAATAGAGAGAGAGAGTGGGAGAGAGAGAAAGAGAGAGAGGTCTTCCATCCACCAGTTCACTCCCCAATTGGCCACAATGGCCGAAGCTGCTCCAATCCGAAGCCAGGAGTCAGGAGCTACTTCCAAGTCTCCTATGTAGGTGCAGGGGCCCAAGAACTTGGACCATCATCTACTGCTTTCCCAGGCCATAGCAGAGAACTGGATTGGAAGTGGAGCAGCCAGGACTCACATAGGTGCCCTTATGGGATGCCGGCACTTCAGGTGGAGGCTTTTCCCTCTATGCCACAGTGCCAGCCACATCCACTCCCCTTCTTAAAAATCTCAGCCTCACTTAGTCTTTAATGCTCTGGGCCTTGTGTATTTCTGACTTTCTCTTAGCTCCTCTTGATGTTATCAACATCCATGGGGGACTTCCTTCACTCCCTCCAATGTACCAAGCCTTTTCAGGCTTTGAGCTGTTTATGTTTACCTGTAAACAAACACACTACTACCTAAATAAAAGGCTACTGCTTCTTTTATTGAAAGCATTTCCTTTGCAAATTTGACTATGTGCTCTTCTTGATGCTCTCATCACCTGTGGTGCATCCATTCTAGCAGGTTATTTTTCATACAGTATGTTTATGCCCTGTGTACTTTTTTTGCATCCTCTATGAGCTTAGCAGGCCATTGGAAGAGAGGAAAATATCTTTTTGGAGTCAACATTTATTTAACACCTACTTTGATCTTAGTATTATTCTCACATTCTCAACAATCCCGTGAGATTGGTTGACTGTTTTATAGAGAGGAGCCCGAGGCACAGAGAGATTAAGTATCTTACCCAGTATTACACAACTAATAAGTGAAGCTGAGATTCCAACTCAGACAGTCTGGATCTAGTGCCTGCAGCCTTACCAGCTGTTTTAAGCGCTTGTATTATTGTTACATATCCAGCTCCTCACCAAGTGCCAGAGGTTTAATAGGTGCTCAGGATAAATTTTTCAAGTTAAAAATTGAAGACAGTGAAGGTTTCTATCAAGTATTGGAGCCCATCAAAGGAGGAATGGTGTCCTTCAAGAATCTGGTGTTTAAAAACCCAGAAGGAGAAACTTGAGCCTTAAGTGAATGGGGAAATTGGCAGGCCCTTAGGGCATCAGGGTTGTGTTGTGAGGATCAGAGGAAGCAGTGTGAGTGAATGCTCTAGGAGAAGGGGAAAGTGCTAACCACTTCCACAGTGGGAGCTGTGGGAGGACATTTAGCTGCCTTTTAGCAAGCCACTTTTGAAAATAAATGTTTATGCTAAACTAGAACTAGGGAATGACAGAGCAGTAAAATAGCAGGGCAGGGCAAGGAGGGGATGAGCCAGCCATGCTGCTGTCTGCCGCAGAGGTAGGAGACATGCACGCATGAGCGATTTTATCAACAAGACAAGGCCACCCACGCCAAGCAGTCATCTACTGTGATATGGTGACTATGGTGTGGAGCTAAATAAATGTTTCTGTAAACAACAACAACAAAAACAGTGTAACCACAAATGTGTCCTGCATACACGTCCTCAGGAGGCAGATTGTACCTAATCCAGCGGAGAAGAAAGCCTCCTCCTGTGACCCACTGGGGCATGTGAGGGCAGGAACCACGGCAGCAGGGGCCTTTGAGCATATGCTGGAGGAACAGAAAAGCAACCGAGGAGAATCCTTTCCCTTTTAGTAGCTGGGAAAGCATTTGCTCCCAGAGATTGGACGTAATGCAGTGGCTACAGGAGTGTGTCCTCCTCCTCCTCACATTTACGACTCACTGCTCTGTGATGCTGCTTTTCAGAGTGTCCAGCAAATTACTGCAGAAATGGCGGAGCTTGTGTGGTGGAGAAAAATGGTCCCACGTGTCGGTAAGGAGCATGGTCTGTCTTTCTTTTCTGGCTTACTTACTTTTCTAGAGGTTATTATAATAGAACACCAATCAGTATGTGGTTATTAAAGTTAAAAAAAGTGATAATGGCAGTAGGTGTGTTTATCTTTCCGAATAAGAGAAATAAAAAGTATATTTCAGAAAAAATACAACCTAATATGATTTTCCATGTTCTTCAACATTTTATATTATGTGGAATATGTGGTTATAATATTCATCGTTAGTTGTTCTCAGTACATATCAAATTTAAAAAGATTTTCTAATATGGGTATTCTATTTCAGATGAATTTAGTCTGTATTTCTTTTATCTCTGTTAATGTTAAATTCCATATTTTTCTGTTCTAACAGTTAAAATTTGTTCATAAGTAAGACCATTTTTGATTTATTGAATGAATGTTTATGAGTAAAGTTAAAGTACAGGTAAGGAATGTATTTGCATACTCAAAGCAAGAATAAACAAGAACAGGCCTTGTAATTTCTTTGAGGAATTATTTATATTGCATATCAAAGATTGCTTCAGTTTATTCTTTCACCATTTAGGGAATTGTTCAAAAAAGTTGCATAAACCTCAATGGAAATGGTACATATTCCACTATATTTGCTTTTAATCTAGCAGACCAATGAATATATTGTGGTTTATTGGAAAACTGAAGTTTGATAATCAAGTCCTAACAAAACCCACATAAGTATCAAAAAAGTGATTAATAATTGTTTTTATGGCTGGCACCGTGGCTCACTAGGATAATCCTCCGCCTGTGGCGCTGGCATCCCGGGTTCTAGTCCCGGTTGGGGCGCTGGATTCTGTCCCGGTTGCTCCTCTTCCAGTCCAGCTCTCTGCTGTGGCCTGGGAAGGCAGTGGAGGATGGCCCAAGTGCTTGGGCCCTGCACCCGCATGGGAGACCAGGAGGAAGCACCTGGCTCCTGGCTTCGTATCAGCGCAACGCACCAGCTGTAGCAGCCATTTGGGGGGTGAGCCAATGGAAGGAAGACCTCTCTCTCTGTCTCTCATACTGTCTAACTCTGCTTGGCAAAAAATAAATAAAAAAATTAAGAATAATAATTGTTTTTATAATTATACCATTCTAAGTACGCATATATATTAGGAAAGCAGTTTATTCCTAAAAAATGAAAAACAAAAACTTCTACCAGTTAAAACAAAACCAAAAATTTTATGAGATTTATTTAGCCATTGCTTTCATGTTGAAATCAGATTACTAAAGAGTTTCTCAGAGTGTTTGTCTCCTGAATTCATTATGCAATTGATTTTACATCTCAACAAAATTGTACTTTTCCTCATATCCATTTTCATAAATTTTAACTTATCAAAAACTAATAATAGACAGGAATGCAGGATGTATAATATTAGTTTCTAAAATTTTTTGAAATTGAGAATGATGGCATAAATTATATTATTGAATGTCAGCTGTGTATATAATGTTAATTCAAGTCAACTGTACAATAGGGAGCTCTAAATTTTGTCCTTTTCGGCCGGTACCGTGGCTCAAACAGGTGCTTCAATCCTATATGTGATGGGAGCATTGCAAACAGCAACTTAACCTGCTATAGCAAAGCATCAGCCTCCTTCCAAGTGAACTCTAACATAGTAGCAGAACAACAAAGTGACCACTAAAAAGATAAAGACCAAAAATAATCAATTATAATAGGTTTTCATAAGAGCCAAATCTTAACACACCAGGTGAAATCATCAGAGACTTGGAAAGCAAGTGGTCATGCGATCTCCAGGTTGTTTTGTTAGATGAACCATCATGTTTGTGTTTTAGCTCTAAGGTCATCTCTCTCCTCCAACTTTGCTTTTAAAAACACATATTGCCGGTGTCGTGGCTCACTAGGCTAATCCTCTGCCTTGTGGCGCTGGCACACCGGGTTCTAGTCCTGGGCGGGGCGCCGGATTCTGTCCTGGTTGCTCCTCTTCCAGGCCAGCTCTCTGCTGTGGCCCGGGAGTGCAGTGGAGGATGGCCCAAGTGCTTGGGCCCTGCACCCCATGGGAGACCAGGAAAAGCACCTGGCTCCTGCCTTTGGTTCAGTGCAATGCGCCGGCCGCAGTGCGCCGGCCCTGGTGGCCATTGGAGGGTGAACCAACGGCAAAAGGAAGACCTTTCTCTCTGTCTCTCTCTCTCTCACTGTCCACTCTGCCTGTCAAAAAAATTTTTTTTGTCCTTTTCAACCTTGGTAGTTAGGAAAGAAACTGAGATTTTAGTGTCAGCTGAGCAAGCAAGGAGCTTTGCTACTTGGCACCATCCTTGTGCAAGGAAATAAACTTTAGCACTTGAAATTCAGATGTAAAAGAACTAAATTTGTTTCTCTAAGATTGGAAAACTCAAAGATACAGGAAAAGGTGAAACAGAGGATTCAGAAAAGGATGGATGTAATCAGATAATAGGATTTAATCAGATAATAGGATTTAATAAGATAATAGGATAATATTAACTGCTATAATTTGCTCATTACAAACTGTAGACATGTATCTAAATGTCCACTGTGTCTCATAAATATTTACAATTATTAATAATCAAGAACTTAATGCTTAAAGAGAGGGAAATACGAATCTGATTTGATCTTCACACTTTGAATACATGGTTGGTTTTTTACACACAACTCATAAGTAAGTGTTATTAAAATAAAGGCAATTTTAAAGAAGAAAGGAGGAAAAACAATGGAGATGAATGCAGAAAGGAATTCACTATGCGGAAAGTCAATCAAGTATTCTGATATGTTATTTCTGAAAGCAAATAATTCTTTTAAAACAGCAAAATCACTACAATGACCATCAATATAAACAAATACTTAATGCTATCCACAATGTAGAAATGAAAAAATAACTCGTGAAACTTTTGCATATTCTAATATGGCAGTCTTTTCATTTAAATTATTTCTTTAGAATTGTGACCTGCAAAAGAAATATATGTGTATCAAAATAAATTTTTGAGAATATATACTACTGTATACATACTACTGTATACCCAAGTCCTACTATGTTATAATAAATATATCCATATAAATATATAATCTTCCTTTCTCACACACACACATAAGCATGTTTTTATCTTTCTTTTTTTTACAGAAATGTGATTTTAGATATTGCTTTGCACTTTTTCCTGTGAAACATCATGGTTATTCTTCTATGTTGGTATACTTGAATCTAGATTAGTCTTTTACTGTCAATGTAGTACTGAGTACTCCTTAATCTTCCCGTGTTTTAGCTGCTTCCTCAGTAAAATAGAGAAAATAACAGCACCTTTCTCATGGGGTAGTTATGAGGTTAAAGGAGTTAATACATGAAAAACATTTTAGAAGATATTATAGGAATTTTAGTCATTAGTATTATGATATTGTTGTTTGGTAATGCATACAATATGCAATGTATGCATTCATATTTTAACACCACCAATGTCCTATTATTTGTCATTTAATTCCTTATTTTCTTCCACAAATAATCTTAAAATATTCATCCTTTCATTTACCCTTGGCCAATTTATTATTTTAAATCTAACAACTCCTAAAAAGATACCATGTAGCCATGTAAATTAAAGTTAAATTAATATCCAGGGGAGGGTGTTGTAGCACAGAGGGTTAAGCCACTGATTGAGATGCCCATATCCCATATCTGAATACCAATTCAAGTCCTGAATACTCTGCTCCAATTAAGCTTTGTGTTAATGCATCTTCCTTCCCTCCCTTGCAAACATTTTAAAAAATTAATTATAGGGGAGAGTGTTGTGGCATAGTGGCTAAATCTTCCATCTGTGAAGCTGGCATTCTATATGGGCACCAGTTCATGCTGCTCCCTTTCTGATCCAGCCCCTGCTAATGGCCTGGGAAGGGCAGCAGAAGATGGTCCAAGTGCTTGGGCCCCTGCTACTCACATGGGAGACCTGGAGGAAGCTCCTGTCTCCTGGCTTTGGCCTGGCCCAGCCCCAGCCATTGCAACCACCTGGGGAGGGAACCAGCGGATGAAAGATCTCTCTTTCTCTCTCTGTCTCTCCCTCTCCCTCTGTAACTCTGATTTCCAGATAAATACATCTTTTTAAAAATTAATTATAAGTTCAAATTAGTTACCCTTTCATTTTTCACATATAGATTTTTCTTTTCAACTTAAGTTTAAATGAAGACTTAGAATACAAATTTTAGAGTACAGGTAGGGGTCCTCTGGAAAGGTGATGGCTTTATGTATCCTGTTCCAAAACATGGGAATTCATTGTCCTTGTCCCCTGAAGATAGTAGAACCAAAAAGAGAAGACCAGGTCACTCTCATTCTGGCCCTTTGTGAATCTAAGAATTTCATGAATATCTGTGGGAAATTATTATTAAAGTCTTTAGATTTCCCCTTGGGTTTGGAGCTAAAGAAAGATCCAAGTGATTTAAAAAGAATATCATTGAGTTGCTAGGAGTTCATAACATGTATAAGCATAGAAACTACCAGGTGAACCATGGTTTTCCATCCGTGGAGAAGCACCCACAGCTTGACAGGTTTGAGGGCCAAAGAAGCAAACTGTAAGCCAAAAAGAGGGTGTTACATTATTATGTTAGTTTCATTTATCAATGTATCTGCTAGAAAATAGACTGAGTAATACAGTACAAATTCCAAATTAATATGGAAAGCATGAAAGATGTTAAAAGAAAGAAATTTATTAAGTTAGTATGGGTAAAGGAGACAAAAAGGAAAAGCATGAAATTAGAATACATAGTAACACATAAGTATATAAATGTATATCTATTCATTTACATCATTTTACGCCTCACATTACTTTGTTCATAACAAAAAAGAATATTATTTTCCTTTATCCAGTGTGTACAATGATAATATATATTTGACTAAAAAGGAAACTTTCATAAAAGTCTACAAGTTTTGGCTCACCCTATTTATCTGTGTTCTGAAAAAACAGAAAATCAACAATGAAGTGATGACAGAAGACCATAATGACCTGTTAGAAAGTTTAAATACCATTTCTAGTAAACTCT